GAATAGAATAGAACAGAATAAGGAATAGAATAGAATAGAACAGAATAAGGAATAGAACAGAATAAGGAATAGAATAGAATAAGGAATAGAATAGAATAGAATAGAACAGACTAGAATAAGGAATAGAATAAGGAATAGAATGGAATAGAATGGAATGGAATGGAATGGAATGGAATGGAAGGGAAGGGAAGAGAAGAGAAGAGAAGAGAAGAGAAGAGAAGAGAAGAGAAGAGAAGAGAAGAGAAGAGAAGAGAAGAGAATTCTTTATTGGCCAAGTGTGATTGGACACACAAGGAATTTGTCTTCGGTGCAGATGCTCCCAGTGTCCATAAAAGAAAAGATACATCCGTCAAGAGTCAGGAATCATCAGGCACAACACTTAATGATGGTCATGGGGTACAATAAGCAATCAAATCATACAAGGAAACAGTCAGTATAAAAAGAAAGAAAGAAAGAAAGAAAGAGGGAGGGAGGGAGGGAAGGGAGAAAGAGGGAAGGGAAGGGAAAGCGATTGAGATATGGATGGATAGAGGGAAGTAGGGAAGGGGGCAGGGAAAAGGGAGAGGAAAGAAGGACCACAAACTCTGGCTTTAGATGCAGCTTCAGAGGATACTTTGAATCAGCACAGCAATCCAGGGCTGAAAGGGACCTTGGAGGTCATCTAGTCCAACCCCCTGCTCTAAGAGCATCATGAAGCGTCTGAATTTTGACGGTGGTATAGGTGTGAGGACCGCTCCGAAGTCCTTTGGCTCAGGGCCATTGCGACTTGGAGCAGTCGCTAAACACACAGTCCTAAGTCGAGGACCTATGTATGCAAAGGGCCGGTCACGTGACCGTCCTAGCGAATACACGGAGTAGCTGGTTTTGATCAGGTAATTTGGGATTTTGGCATCGGTCGTAAATCTATGGACCGGCCGTAAATCTTGCATGGGGATAGGACTAGAAGATCTCCAAGGTCCCTTCCAACTATTCTATTCTATTCTATTCTATTCTATTCTATTCCTTATTCTATTCTATTCTATTCTACTCTATTCTACTCTCTTCTATCCTATTCTATAATTATTCTATTCTATAATCTATTCTATTCTATATTCTATTCTATTCTATTCTATTCCTTTTCTATATTCTATTATATTCTATTCTATTCCTTATTCCATTCTGTTCTATTCTATTCTGTTCTATTCTATTCTGTTCTATTCTATTCTATTCTATTCTATTCTACTCTCTTCTATCCTATTTTATAATCTATTCTATTCTATAATCTACTCTATTCTATTCCTTTTCTATATTCTATTCTATTCCTATTCTTTTCCTATTCTATTCTATTTCTATTCTTTTCCTATTCTACTTCTATTTCTTATTCTGTTCTGTTCTATTCTATTTCTTATTCTGTTAAACGTATTCTTTATTTATCCCGATTTGTGATTAATTTTAAATAAAGTGGTGAACATTCCTCCTTCTTCCTTCCTTCTCTTTTGCCTGTAACAGCAACCCTGCAAAGTGGGCTGGGCTGAGAGAGAGCGACTCACCCAGTTACTAAGATGGCTTTCATGGCTTATGTAGAACTAGAACTCACCGTCTCCTGGTGATTGGCCCAAAGTCACCCAGCCAATTTTCATTCCAAAGGCACAACTAGAATTCATTGTGTCCTGTGACTGGCCCAAACTTATCCAGTTAGCTTTCATGCCTAAAACTGGACTAGAACTCACCGTCTCCTAGGGATTGGCCGAAAGTCACCCAGCTGGCTTGTGTGCCTTGGTAGGACTAGAACTCCCCGTCTCCTGGGGATTGGGCCAAAGTCACCCAGCCAACTTCCATCCCCTAAGGCCAAAACTAGAATTCCCCATTGCCCAGTTTCTAGCTGGATAGCCTGAATAACGGCTCCACCCAAAAAACGACGCCCGAAAATCCCGGAGAACTTTGAAGGCCTTCCCAAGAGTTTGTGAACCCCCGCTCCGTACAGGTCTTCTGGGCTGAGGATAATGGGCTTTGTGGCAGCGATGGACCTCAAACCCCACCCGGTGCTTCAACGCTCTGCACTTTCCCTGTTGCATGCCGTCGCTTCCTACCCACAGCTGCTTTGCCAAGTTGGTCTATTTTGGTCCCCGCTCTTCACAGCGAAGACGGATTTCTGTGCAACGCACGCGCGCGCACACACACACACACACACACACACACACACACACACAGAGCAGCCAAGGGCCTCTGGGCATCCATTGCCAAGACAACCACACCTTGGAGGGAGGTGGGAAAAAGGATCCCTGGTGGATCCATGACAAGCCACGTGAGATGAGGTGGCCACACACACACACAGACACACACACAGAGATACACACACCATCTGAGACAACCAGAAAGAAAGAAAACCTTTCCAGGTGGGGCGGGGGGAGAGTTGGCATTGTGGGTCTCTGGCTTCACAACCCCATCCAAGAACCTTGGACAATCCTCATAGGCGGGGGTGGGGGGGCGTTGAGGAGGAGGAGATCACCTGTACCACCTGGGCCTGGTGGGGGAGGGGGGAGGAGGTGGTTTCAGGTGGGAGGTGGGAGAAGAGGCTTTCCTCCTCCTCCTCCTCCTCCTTCCCAGAGAAAGGTCCTGTTTGGAGATGGAAGGGGAGTGGACTTCGAGTCCCACAATCCCCCAGCCACCATGCTTTAAGCTACATGGACTTCAACTCCCATAATCCCCTGGCCATCATGCTTTAATATGGGGTGGACTTCAACTCCCAGAATCCCCCAACCACCATGCTTTAAGCTACATGGACTTCGACTCCCAGAATCCCCCAGCCACCATGCTTTAAGCTATATGGACTTCAACTCCCAGAATCCCCCAATTGGCATACTTTAAGGTTGATGGACTTCGACTCCCAGAATCCCCCAGCCACCATGCTTTAAGCTACATGGACTTCAACTCCCAGAATCCCCCAGTCGGCATACTTTAAGGTTGATGGACTTCAACTCCCAGAATCCCCCTGCCAGCAGAGAATTCTGGGCGTGGAAGCCCCAAAACCCAAATTGTGCGTATCGTGTGACCCAGCCCTCTCCGCTCCCTCACCAGGTCCAAACTGGGAGCTGGAACCAGTTTAACCAGTAGAACCCAACCCCACAACACCCTCTTCAGCTTCTTCTCTGAATGTGCTCAACCACAAGCAGTCCTCGACTTATAACAGTTTACTTGGTGACTGAAGCGGCAACCGGGTCACTGAGAAAAGGGACAGAGGCCCGTTTTTCACACTTATGACCGGCTGCAACCTCTCCGTGGGAGAGGGGGGATGTCACATGATCAGAATTCAGACTGTTTGGCAACAGTCTCGTGTTTATGACGGTCAGCAGTATGTTGCGACCGTCGGACCAGCCAAGTCTTCGGTCGGGGGTGAGCCGGATTCGCTTCATGATCATGGTGACTTGGTGAAGGACCACAGGGATTCCCTTAACAATGGGGGCAAGAGAGAGGTCATCCAATGGGGCTCACGGATATCTCGCTTAGTGGCAGAGATTGTGGTCATAAGCCGAGGACTGCCTGTAGGACAGCGTGCAAGGAAACAAGGACGGTGCGTTTTTGAACCCCTTTGCATTCCACGTCGTTTGTTGCGGTGGCTTTTCTTTTACTTTTGACATCTTCCTTCCCCATGCACACAAAAACTCACACAGACTCACAACTCCAAGGAGCAAATTTCATGCAGAAAACACAATTGCCCCCCTCACAAAAGACAACAACTTTGGGGAGCTGCAACCTATGTCAAAGATGTGACAGGGTTCCCGCAAGTTTCTTCCATGCAAAGCTCATTGTTAAAGGGGAGAGGGGGCGGTTGAATGGTCTACCCCAGGGGTCGGCAGCCTGCAGCTCTGGAGCCCCATGCGGCTCCAGAGCCACATGCTGCACTTTTGGCCTTCTGCTGCGGCTCCTTGTTGACTGATCCCACCACTGGCCCCTCCCCTCCCTGTCCTTCCTCGCCTGGCCTAAGAAGCTTAAGGGTGATGGCGGGGTATGGAGACTCGCTCCATATTCCAGAGCAGGGTAGGTCTTACTTTTGGGGAATCAGGATAGATTCAAAGTTATGTGGCTAACAGTCAACGGTGGAACCAAATTTTGCTCGAGGGTGTTGGACCGCCAAGATTTCAACTGAGTGGGAAAGTGGCCTACAGCGTCAGAAGGTTCTCAAGAGGTTCCATAGCTAAATAGTTGTGGTCTACAGCCCCACCAGAGCCTTCCAACTCCACAGGTTCTTTCCCTCGAGGAGCGTTAGTGACCACAAAACAGACACACACACAACACAAGGCTCCGAAGCACACACAGACAGAAGAAGCTTGAGTGGGTCTCGGCGGACCGAGGTCAGTTCCAGAACTGGTTAGCATGGTGACGCCAAGCAAGCTGGGTTTCTCGCCAAAGACAGTCCCCATGACGCGGTTCATGCCAACCAGGTTAGGTGCTCGTGCCGACGCGAGCAAACATGGGAGCATGTTCTCAGACAATGCCAAGCTGGATGGAGAAGGCTGGGAAGGCCATAACCGCAAGCACACACACACACACACACACCTTTGTCTCGCCTGTGGAGGCCATCAGGTCGGGGAGGTCTTCTTCTGCCTAGGTCCGGAGCTCCATCCTTTGGGGAAGGGACAGATGGAGGAGGAAGAGGAAGTCCTCTTGACTTGGTGGGTCTCATGTAGCCTTTCATTGGTGGTGGAGCTTTGGCCCGGCTTGCTTTCTGGGTCTCGCCTGTGGGCCTGTGGCCATCGTGATCAGTGGCAGCCGGAGAAGTTGACGCTTGTGGTTCTTGGGCTGCCGATCTCAAGTTCGGCGCATCTTGGGCTTTCCCAAGTTGTCCCGTCTCCTCCTTGCTGGCTGGTTGGAGGAGAGGACCTCCCTTGGCCAGGTTCTTGTCGTCCGACACCAGATGATCGGAAGCGAGCCCACTTCCTCCCACTTCCTCCAGAAGGACGTCCTCCAGGACCTTATCTGTCCTTGTCTGACTTCCTAAACGGTCCGGATGCTCAGAAGGCCTTGCTTCATCTTCTCGTCTATCTTCTGCTAACACTCCTGGCTCAGAAGTTCCACCACCGTGGAAGACAGTCATTACGGTCTGAGGAGTTGACACTTCCTCCTTGGATTCCTTCAGAGTTTGGGTTTCCATAGGGAGGTCACTGCCTTCTCCAACCCAACCTCTTCCTTCAGCCACCAGCCCAGGAGCCGTCTCTAGCTTCTCCACCACCATTTCTGGTGAACCAAGTCCATAGCTTTTGTCTCCAAGGTACGTTCCTCCGCTTTGCTTCTCCGTTTTGAAGAGGCGGTCTGCCGGGGTCCGCTTGTTCTTCTTCCTCTTTTCCCGGATGTCATCCCCAGCTTTCACGACCAGGGAAGCTTCTGCCTCTTGACCGTCAAGTTTGGCCAAGTTCTCCTGGAGCTCCTCCAGGATCTTCTGATCCCCTGGCTTTGCAGATTGTAGGAATTCGGGAAGAAAAAATGGCTCCTGGCTTGGCTCGCCAGCCAACTTGGGGAAGTGAGCTTCTAAAAACGGGCAGGTGGGACCTCGAGTTTTGGACGTGGATTCCTCAAGAGGTCCAGCTGGGTCAAAGACATTTGTGAGGTCCTCTTCCCAATGCAGCGGACGGCCAGGAGGGAAGCTTTTGATGTTCCTGTTTTCATCGACGACCTCTGCTTCTCCTATGGTGAAGCTCAATCCACCAAGCCTCTGAGGTTCTTCTTCATGGCTGACCTCTTCCTTAGTTCGTTGGGCAACCACAGGTTCCTGAGGGATAATCTTGCTTTTCTTCTCGCCACTCTTCTTCTTTTCAGGTTTCACAAGTGGGGGTTGAAGATCTGGAAGATCAGGGTCCCCATCTTTTTTGGTCTTCATCTTTCTCTCACCTTCTTCTATGACTGTTCCGGTATCCAACTTGCCCAGCAAATGGACCGATGGTTCCAAAGTACGCACATCTTGTCTACTCTTTCCTTTCTCTTGTCCTCCAAAAGTGCCATCAACGAAGAGCTTATCAGGAACCTGGCCTGGAGGTTCTGGATGCTTGAGATGTTCCGATCGCTCCTTCCTGGTGCCATCAAAGGCGGGGACCTCCTCCATCTTAACTCCTTGGTGGTCTTCACCAGAAGGTTCTGCCTTCATCTCCAAGACTTTAGGAACTTGAAAACTTTGACCATTGGTCTCCTGTTTCTTCACTTCTTCCAGGACTTGAGGGAGGACAGAATGTGGCTTGGGCGGACCTTCTCCAACTTGATCTCGGCTGGCTTCCTGCTCCTTAGATGGCGTTTCTTTGATTTTATGGAGTTCTTCTGTCTTAGGAGTGCTGACTTTCTCCTTCAAGGTGGACAGCTGCCCAGAGTCAACCTTCTTCTCCTCTTTTCCTCCCGTCGTTCCTGGCGGTTTTTCAGCAGGGAGTTGGAGGGTGCCAGGAAGTTCTAGCCCTTGGCTCTTCTTCTCAGGAGAACCTTTGTTAACCAAATCATTGTTCTTTGAAGACACCGTCCCATCCAACGTCTTCTCCAGGCCCAGTGGGGGTTCCCTGGAGGGACCTTTGTGAGATGTCTTGCTTTTCCCATCGCTGCTTCTCTTCTTGGGTTTGTTGGTGGCCCACACGAAGGCGGGGTCTCCTCCAGGGGAGCTTGCCAAGGGGGGTCCCTTGTTTTGATTTGGCCCGCCTGTTTCCTGGCCTTGGACCGTCGACTCTAGGAGAAGCTGGCCTTCTGTCTGCTTTCCAGGGACCTCCAAGATAAAGGGATATGCTGATGGAGGAAGGTCAACCCTTTGACCAGGTCCAGTTGGAGAACCTCCGAGGTTTTCACTCAAGGTGACAGACGGTGGACTTGATTGCTTCACACCGTCTGTAGTGCTGTCCAACTGTTGGCTTGTAGCTAAGACATTCATCCCTTCTTTCGGTTCATCTGGTCTCTGTTGGGTTTGGTCAAACATCTCATGAACTTCTGTGGTAGAGACAAATGGTTGTCTGAAGGAGCTCCTGTCCTCAGCTCTTCTGCTCTTCCCCACGCTAGATCTCTTCTTCGGCTTCTCTCTCACTCCTGGAGAGGTGGAAAAAGTTTCTTCCGGGGTCCTGGTTGTCCAACCGATTTCGCCCAGGCCCTCAATGTCTTCCGCCGTTGAAGCTTGGCTCAAGCCAACCTTCTCTTCCAACTCTGGGAGATGCTTTCCTTTCCTGCTTTTCCCATCACTGCCCCTCTTCTTGGGTTGGTCGTGTCTCAACCTGAGACTGGTTGGATGTTCTGGAGGGCGGACATCGAGGAGGTCTTCTGTTGGGCTGGTGAAGAACAGTGGGCCACCACCAAGAGTATCAGCAGCAAACAAGGGTTGGGCTGGATCGGACTTGGTTTCCACCACGAATGGAGTTTTGGCAGAATGAAAATCAGATCTTCTGCTCCGTGGTCTTTCTTTGAGGGTCCCTGAGATACCTGTGCTTTCTTCTCTGTCTTGAGGAAGAGAACAAGTCACTTCTTGGGTTGGTTCGGCTGAAAGAGTCACAACTTCTTTGACCTCACTGTCCTTCTTGAAGATCTTCTCAAGATCTTTAGGTGCCTCCACCGACTCTCCTTTCCTTTCAAGACTTGGAAAGTCTGGAGCAACCTTCTCATGGGCAACCCCAGGGTCTACGGTCTGGACCTCAACCTTCTGCCCCACCCCAGCAGAGTTGGTCTCCAAAGTTGAGGCATCGACGTTGGAGTTCTTCAGAGTCGGAGACCCCGACTGTACCCTTTTCTCAATGGGACTCAGTTCTCCAGGACCTGGAGGAGAAGTTGGACTCGCCTCCTTCTTTTTCTTCTGCTCCGTGTGGTGCTTTGGAAGCGCCTCAGAAAGTTCTCCTGGGGGACTCAGGGGCTGCCATGCCAAGCCATCGTCCACGGCCAGTTTGACTCGGCTCAATTCTCCCGGGGGGTTGGGGTCCGATGCAAATTCGGAAGGTTCTTCCATCTTTGCTGGAGGAAGCGGTGGAAGCTGATGGCTGTCCGGTTGTTGTCCTCCTTTCCCGAGAACTTCGGTGGAGGCCCACAGGGCTGCTTGAGGGCTTCCCTGGAGAACGTTTGGAGGCTCTCCAGCAGCCGGAGGGCTCCTTAACTTCTTCGTGTTGTCCTCCCACGTTTCCACGCCACGTGGCTGCTGCCCTTTCTTCTGCTTTGCCTTCTTCTTCTTCTTCTTCAAGGCAGCCGATGCGTCAAGAGGGTCCCATCCTTCCTGCAATAGCTCCCTCCGACCTTCTGGAGCGTCGAAAGCCTGGCCGGCTCCCTTCCTCGGGGATCTCCTGGGACGGGGAGAAATTCCACCGACGGAGCCGAAGTCGGCCACGAAAAAGGAGTCTCCACTTCTTGGGCTGCGAGTCGTCAAGGTGGGAGAACCTGCCAGTTGATCTTGCGGAACATCTGCCAGAGTCACCTGGACAGGTTTCGCTCTGCCAAACCTGCGGTGGTCACTGGGTTTGGCAGCGGGTGTTATTTGGGCGGGAGGTCCACCTGGAATACAGGAAGGTCACTGAAGGATCAGAACCCACCACGAATCAAGAACCACGCTCCCAATACTTAGACTGGATTGGGGGAGGTTTTTTGGGGGGGGGCCGGGGGGGGGGGCTTAAGCTTTGCTGATCCCAGCCTAGATGCCCGTCAAGGATCAGATTTGCTGAAGAGCTACCACATCTCCCTCAAATCCTCGTCCTCTTCATCGAACGAGCCCATAATCCCTTGTGAGGGTGGCGTCTGGGTAACCGAGTGGACCTTAGCAGAGTGTCTGAATGGCCGGATGCCCTCCCTGTCACCAGGGCGGGGTTTTGTTCGGCAGATATAGTCTCATTGTGCCCAGAGAGAAAGAAATATCCACTTCTACCTAGGATCGAATTCACCGCCTCCGGATTGTGAGGCGAGAGCCATCGTACCATCACATCTACCTCAATAAATAAAATAACTTTTATTGTCATTTCCCCCCCCCCTCCCCCCCGGTGAGTACATTGGCTCACATGAAATTCTATTGCCTGCTTTCCAAAAAATGTATGTATCTAACCATACATGCACATAACTCAATATGTACATACATATTATTATTATTATATAATAATATAATATTATATTACGTACATACACGTACATAGCTCAAGGTTAACCGCACCAAACTTGATTGCAGGAAATACGACTTCTGCAATAACAGAGGGGTCAATGTCTGGAATCCTCTACCTGACTCTGTGGTTTCTTCCCCAAACCCCCAAAACTTTAACCTTAGACTGTCTACTATGGACCTCACCCCCTTTCCTAAGAGGTCTGTAGGGGGCCTGCATAAGCGCACCAACCGTGCCTACTGTCCCTGTCCATATTTTCTTTTATTTTTCTTATATGTACCCATTTCATGTATTCATAACTATGTGTATACTTATACCTATTATCTTGTAAGCGATTGACAAATCAAAAAGATTAATACTAAAAATAACCTACATATGCACTTGCTATAAACACGCCGATTTTATATATATCTTAATCGCTGTCCATTTTGAATACGTAGCCGAAAGAGGAAACCTCAAAGTTCGCCAGGTTGATGCTATACGGAAAAAAACTGGAAATGAATCTGGCTGTTTGGCTTTGGATACCACAGAGCTTCCTCCCAGAAGGTAACCAGGAAAATTGGTCATGGAGAGGACCGGTAGTGTCCCAGACGATCCTCCTCAAGGATCACTTGTATGCTGTGTTTTGGGCAGAAGGAAGTGAACTACCAGCTACTTTTCCACTGTCCTCACCACTCTCTGTTCAGACTTCCTGTCTGCTCATCAACTCCTTTTAACAACCCCGTAATCCCTTGCTGGGGTGGAGCCTGGGCAACTGAATGGAGTGGAGTGCTTACTGGACGGATGCCCTTCCTGTCACCAATGCACAGTTATATTCAGCAGATATATTCTCAACATGCCCTAACAGGGATGTTTTTATCCACTGTTAATGTATTATAATGTGTCGGTACTTTTTTATATACATATTGTAAATAGTGATGTCTATTGCTGGTCTAAGACTGTAATGAAGTTATACTCTACTCTACTCTACTCTACTCTACTCTACTCTACTCTACTCCATTCCACTCCATTCCATATATTCTATTCTATTCTATTCTATTCTATTCTATTCTATTCTATTCCACCCCATTCCATTCCTTCTTTTCTTTTCTTTTCTTTTCTTTTATTTTCTGTCCTGTCCTGTCCTGTCCTGTCCTGTCCTATTCCCAACATGCCCAGAGACAGAAATATCCGCTTCTACCTAGGATCGAACTCACAGCCTCCGGATTGTGAGGCCACAGCTCCACTTCTTGGCCACCGCACCACTCAATGCTTCCCAACCACTGTGTCCCCCCGTGCCCCCCCCCCCGGCTCTCTATTCAGCCTTCCTATCCGAAGCTGTCACGCTGTCCTCACCGCTCTCTCTTTCTCTCTCTCTCTCTCCAGCGGGGGTGTCAAGCTCAATTTCATTGAAGGCTGCATCAGGGTTGAGTTCGACCTGCCCGGGGGGGGGGGGGGGGGGGGGGGGGGGGGGGGGGGGCAGGGTGTATGTGACCAGCTTGATGTCATTCATCAAAGGCTCCGTTTTCAGCTTGTGACAGCCCCCTGCAGCCCTCCCCAAGTGGAAACGGAGCCTGGGCAGACTGTGGGCGGCCTCCCCAAGCCCCGTTTTCACCGGCAGAGGCGCTGCAGGCTGGTCCTTCAACGTTTCCAGGGCCTTCGAGTTTGACACCCCGGCTCTATAGCCTTCCTGTCGGCGGCCGTAACGCTTCCAAGCTCCACCGTCCTCGCCACTCTCTCTGCAGCCGTTCTGTTCGAAGCTGTAACGCTTCCAAACCGGACAGTAATCCAACAGGACGCGCTCCATTGTCACCTCTTTAGCAGGAGCGCCAAACACAAGATGGGGTGGGATCTGCTCCACAGGGCCACCCTGGAAAATGTAAGGAGCCGGTCTGCATCGCTTCAGCCTGCTCTACCCAATGCAGAGAGGAAACACGCCAGGACTTTGGAGAGTGGGGTCAAGCTGGCTATGCCTACCCACCCGGCCACACACACCCCGTGCCCACTCCCCAAGGTCAACCAGAGCCCTGATGCGACCCTCAATGAAATTGAGTGACACCCCTGCTGTCAACCCATAAAGTATTTCTATGCTCTTCTTAGAATTGCCAACAGAAAGGGAGGGGGGGGGGGGAAGGGGTTTGAAAGAGCAGTGTGGCAGCTTGGAAATAGAAAGTGCATTCCATGAATAGTTTTTCAGAGATAGTAACTCTAGGTGACTGAAGTTTCCGCCGTGCACAATTCTAACTGGAGCAACGTGATTGATGACTCTGGGCTATGGAAGTGTCTCATTGGAGAATAGGAATTGTGATGACACCTGGGGGAAACCAGGGTCAAGGGTGACAATGAATTAGGTGTCTCAGAGTCGGCTACACCCAGGCAATGCCGGACATGTTAACTCCCATAAATCCTTTTGAAGTTTTGGAAGTTTGGCTCGAGACTCAGGATTTAATTGGGGTAACTGCCAGAATCTTGACCTCTATTGAAAGTGGTGAGGACACAGATAAACTGATCGAACAGAATAAATAGATGTTCTTAAGCTTCGATAACCGAACTTTTTAGCTTTCGGTGGCTGCTACGCCATGTCTCCTGTCACCTCGGGGATGGTGCGCATTACCACCCAGCGGTGGGAGGTTTGAGGAAGGGCTGCACATCTTCACTTTGCTAAAAAGGTTTTCCAGATCTCTTTGACGAGGATCTAAGTCTTGAAAAGCTTCCACTGCAGAAGATGAGTATACTGGCAAGCTAAGATGTCTGAGACGCAACTAGGAGAAGAAATAACACTAACACTCAGGAGTAGACTGGACAAACGTTTGTCCAAGATGGTCCAAGCCTCCCGCCTCAGACAAGCGGTTGGACTTGGAGACCTCCGAGGCAGGGGTGGGATTAAACCGGTGTAACAAATCGGTTGGGTGAGGGTGCGGTGAGCAACTAAGGGCAGGGCCAAGTCATTGGCGCAATTACCGGTGCGTCCGAATTGGGCTAAACCGGACGGTAGAATCCCACCCCTGTTCTGAAATCCCTTCCAGCCCTAAGATTGTACGACTCCTCCCGCAAGGTGGAAGTCTCGACTTAAGAGAAGAAAGTCGTTTTTCTGGACTTCCACCCAACTCAGCCGTAGATGATCATCCGAACATCTAAATCTCCCCGTGTACCCCAGAGTTCAGAAGAGATATTTAATGGGAACGATGGAGAACTCACAGAAAGTCCCCTTTCACACGAGCGCAGGCCAACTTCGTGAAGGGTCGATCTTGAGTGTCAGGTTTCTGAAAGTAGGCTAATGGGAACCTCCCTTCCCCCGAGAGATCGGTAGATCCAAAGAAGGGATTTGCCATTGGGTGAGAGACAGGCAGGGCTGGGCTACGACCGATTCACCCTGGTTCGAGCGAACCGGTAGCTAATTTTATCATTTTTAATGCCCGCTACGGCCAACTGGCAAATCCCACCCCTGGCTGGGCCCGTCCACCTCGCCTTGCCCCTACCTGGAGTATCTATGTGACCCATTGGGGGTGCCAGATAAGTGCAGGGCCCATGTGGAGGCTCGAGGAGGGCAAAAAACAGGTTTTCCAAAGGCTGGAAATGGGCCCATTTTCGTTCTCCTAAGCCCAGCGGAGGCTGTTTTTGCCCTCCCGAAGCTGGTAGTCCGGGGAAGCGTGAAAACGCCCCAACCGGCCGTGGGGCAGGAGGCCAACTAGGCCACACCCACCATGGCCACACCCACCCAGCAACCAGAGCAGAGAACCAGTTGCTGAAAAAATCTGAAGCCCACCCCTGGGCACAGGTATCAGGGCAACTGAGGTAGAACATATCCAGTTTTGGTGGACAACGTTAACCCGGGCAGGGAGAAAGCAATGAAGGAAGGAGACGTTGTCGTAAGATCCTCCTTCCGGAGCAGAAGACCAGAAGACAAGAGAAGAAAACTGTAGGACGGAGAAGAGAGAGAAGGCTCAGTTCCGGTTTCTCCCTAAGGACTCACCTTCCGGTTCGAGAGGCGGCTTTCCTGCAGAGGGCTCCGTGGGTTGGGCCAAGGTGGACTCGTCGACAAATGACCTCGGAGTTTCCATGTGGAGCTTCTCCCCAAGTACGGAGCCCACTGGGTCTGCTGAAGAAAAAAAAACCAGGGTGACCACCACAAAATCAGAGAACTTTCTCCAACGACCCAAGACAGTGCGGTCTCGAGGAGAAATTTGGGTCGGTCGTGCCCAAAGAGATGTTCTCCAAAGGCGCTGGAAGAACCATCTCCAGAACTTCTGGGCTTCCAAGAAACCTGTCAACTCATAAAATACTTCTGTGGTCTTCTTAGAGTTGCCAACAGAAAGGGGGTGGGGGGAAGGGGTTTGAAAGAGCAGTGTGGCAGCTTGGAAATCGAAAGTGCATTCCATGAATAGTTTTTCAGAGATAGTAACTAGGTGACCAAAGTTTCTGTCACACAAATATCTAACTGGAGAGCATGATTGATGATTCTGGGCTATGAAGATGTCCCATTGGAGAATATGAATTATGATACACCCAGGGGGTGGGGCGGGGGGAAACCAGGGTGAAGGGTGACAAGGAATGATGTGCCTCAGAGTCGGCTACACCCAGGCAGTGCCGGCATGTTAACTCCTATAAATCCTTTGGAAGTTTTGGAAGTTTGGCTCGAGACTCGTGATTTTATTGGGGTAACTGCCGGAATCCCGACAAAACCTTTCTGAGGATTTCTACAGGGATGTTTTCCAAAGGTGTTGGAAGGACCACCTCCAGTAACTTCCTGGGCTTCAAAGAAACCTTTCCAGGGATTTCTATGGAGGACCTCAAAACCTCTTTAGCGCTGGTCCAATCCCAACACAACTGGAGAAGATCAAGAAACACCAGGAAGAGTTCAGTGGTTTTCGACATTTTTCGTGGACAACTCAAGAAGATCTTGTGCTGAACAGCAGGGCATCGGGACCAGGCAGTGGGCTGGCACCGGTTCGCCCCGGTTTGCCCAAACCGGTTGCTAATTTTATCATTTTATTTTTATGGCCGGTTCAGCTAACCAGCAAATCCCACCCCTGGCTGGCCTTGCTCATCCCTCTCCTCCCCTCAGGTGTCTCCACACAGCATGTTTTGGATCCCAGGTAAGGAGGCTCAGGGCGAGCAAAAAACGGGTCTCCCGTAGGCCCCAGAAGGCCGGAAATGGGCCCGTTTTCGGCCTCCGGAGCTCAGGGAAGCCGTTTTTGCCCTCCTGGAGACTCGAGGAAAGCCTCCGGAGCCCGGGGAGGGTGAAAACACCCACACCCCACCCCGCCGGGGTGCAGGAGGCCAACTAGGCCACACCCACCCAGCAACCGGAACAAAGAACCGGTTGCTAAAAATTTCTGAAGCCTTCCCCTGGGGTTGGGACACAACTCGGGAAGCCCAGGGATGATTACTGTCGTGTGCTGAATCCTCTTCTGATTGGTGTCCTAAATAGGTCATGGAAGCTCTTCCCGTTGACGTTCTCCCATGCCCCCCCCCCAAACTCAAAATCTATCAAGCGTGCCCCCCAAAAGAGGTTCAGACTTAGAAAAGAGAGGAAGACAAGATGACGGACCGCCACGGAGCTTTGACCGCCTTTTTTTTCTCCCCACAACGTTCTCTTTTACCTGCAAGACCTGGAAGATGCTCTCCAGGTTGGGTTGGGTCTGGCCGACTCGGTTCCTTCCGCTGTTCTGTAGATGTGCCGAGAGGCTCCTTCTTCTCCTTCTCATCGAGATCCTCCTGCCCAGGAGGAACCTCCGCAGGTTGACTGAGCAAAGGAGGGGACTTCATTTCTGGACTCAGAGAGACCTTGGTTTCTTCTACTTTCTCAGAAGGTTGGGTGGGAGAAAGCGGAGGGGTGTCAACTTTCCAGACAGGAGAAAGCGGGGGTCCATCAGCCTTCTGGCCAGGAGAAGGTGAAGGTTCATCAGCCTTCTGGCCAGGAGAAAGTAGAGGTTTATCATCCTTCTGGACAGAAGGTGAAGGTTCATCAGCCTTCTGGACAGGAGAAGGTGGAGGTTCATCAGCCTTTTGGACAAGAGAAAACGGAGGTCCATCAGCTTTCCATCCAGGAGAAAGTGGAGGCTTATCAGCTTTCCATCCAGGAGAAAGTGGAGGCTTATCAGCTTTCCATCCAGGAGAAAGTGGAGGTTTATCATCCTTCTGGACAGGAGACAGCTGACTAGTCACTTCTTGCATCGGCTGGGCGAGAGCCAGCTGGCTTTGATCGATCTTCTCTACATGTTGGGTAGAAGAGCCCTCCAGATCTTCTGTTTTGAAGTCGGGAAACGGACTGTCTTCTTCTCGAGGGTGAAAGGGATGTGATGGTTGGGTTTCTTCTGCTTTTTGGGCGGGAAGGTGGATCGGGTCTTCTGGATGTAGGCTCAGGGTTTTGTCCTTTGGAGCTGGAAGAAACTGGCTCCCGGCTTCCGGTTTCTCCAACATGGGACAACTGTCGGCAGCGAGAACAATGATATCTTCGTCCTCTGGTTTTAATTCTTTTGACCCCGGAGTCTCCAGGAAGCCTGCTTTGGAGAAAGGAAGAAAGCAAAGGGTTGTCTTTTCTACTACAAAGCTACTCCAAAGTTCTTGGAGGCTCCACTTTACAAACTGGGGGGCGGGGCGGGGGGGGGGGAGGCTATCGGTTTGCACCGGTTTGGCCAAACCGGTAGCGATCCGGTACTAATTTTATGGCTGGTTTGGCGAACAGCCGAATCCAAACCCTGGCTGGCCCTACCCACCATGGCTGTGCCCACCCAGCAACCGGGCACAGAACTGGTTGACAAAAATTTTTGGAAGCCATCCCCTGTTCCAGACCATCCATGGTCACTGATGTTCTCCCCACCAAAACCCACAAAGTCCTCCATACCGTCCATTGGAGGTCCTCCAGAAATTCAGAACGAGGCATAGCGGGTGGCTGCTGTCCAGACTCGCAACCAGAAAAGGTGCATCGTCAAAGAGACAACCAAATCCCAGAGTTGGAAGGGACCTTGGAGGTCCTCTAGTCCAACCCCCCCGGCCGCCCACTGCTCAAGCAGGAGACCTGGGTGTCATTTCGGACAACCGGCTGTCCAGATCTTGAGCAGGCTTGCGAACCAGCCTATCCTTACGGAAGGGGGGGGGGGTTCTAGGAAACTATGCACTGGAGTTGGGACGGTGGTAAGGAGGTTACTCCACACACCCAACTCCTTCCTAGCACTGATGATGTTCTCTAGTTGGGTCATGAAACGTCTGCAAGGAAGCCTCCAAGCTCAGAGAACAACAAGGACCACCCCAGTCCTTTCCTCCTCCTCTTCCTCCTCCTCTACACAAGCCCCCCCACCCTCTTTTCTAGCACTGAGCACATTCCCTAGTTGGGTCATGAAACGTCTGCAAAAATCAGCCAAGCTCAGAGAGCACCAAGGACCTCACAACCTATCCTTCCCCCTCCCCTTCTGAAGAAGAAGGGATGGAATGAATGAATGAATGAATGAATAGCTTATACTCCCTTTGGCCATTCTTTAACTCAATTTATTGATCGATTGATGAGCCCTTGGGCCATATCAAAGTGCAAAATTCCAGGAACAAATTATTACTACAGTGTTTACCCAAAAATAAGACCCTGTCATTCATTCATTTATATATACATATATACATATATTTATATATACATATATACAAAGGAAGAAGCAGCTGCAAGCTCACATTACTCTAAGAAGCACAGAGCCGAAGACACAAGCCTGAAGATGATGAATGAGACTTCATCAAAACGTTGCCTAGAAACTTCCAATTTTACGCGGGAGAAAACCCGAATAACCAAAGATCCACATACAAATACCCACGAGAACCTCAGAAAACAAATATATACATATACGTATACATACATACATGTATATATATATAATATATAATATGTAGGTATGTATGTAGGTATGTATGTATGTATGGTATTCAGCTTTGTTTGGGTATTTTTCCACGTCATTATAGTTGTGTTTTAAAGTTGTAGCAACGTTTCGGCAGAATCTCATCTGCCATAATCAGGCTCCTGTATTGTGTTCGTCTGTGAGTCAGGCTTTTACAGTTGTTTCAGTTTTAAATTTGGGGCTAGCCTACTGCTGTGCCAGAATGGTTTTTTTCTTCATCCTGATTAGTTGGGAGTCTTGGTCTGTGTTTATTGGTCTTGGAGTTTGCTGTGTTCTGCTTGATTGGTGTTTCTAATATCTTCTGTCTGTTTTGTGGCTTTTTTCTTTGTGTCTTGATTGGCTGGCAACATTGTGTTCCTGTATTGGAGACTTTTAGTGCAGCTTGGCTCCAAGTAAATGGACGGCTATCATTTGTTAGGAAGCTAGGTTATATCTGGGTGCCTAGTTGGGGTGTGTTTGACCTGGAGGTATCGGGGGGATCTGTCTGTGCCCAGGTGTTTGCCTGGCTTGTGGTGTAGATTTTTTTGTTTGAGAGTGCAGGCTTCCAAATAATTGACAGTCTGGTGGAATCATCTCTTCTATTCATGCTTTCTGGTCTTTTTTCAATCTCTATGGCTTCTCTGATGATTCTGTGGCTGGGGTTTTCTATAGTGGCTAGGGTTTTGGTGCCATTGAAGTCGATGCTATGACCTGTGGCTTTCATGTGTTGGACTAGTGAGGAAGTGTATTCCAGCTTTTATACTGCATTTTTGGGTTCACCCAGGCGGGTACTTGTTCTTCTATTGATCTGTCCAATGTATGTGGCAGGGCATGATGCACAGGGGACTTCGTATATGCCTTGGTTTTCCAGGTCAATTTTATCTTTGGGGTTTCTAAGGATGGCTGCTATTTTCTGGCACAGCAGTAGGCAAGCCCCAAATTTAAAACTGAAACAACTGTGAAAGTCTGACTCACAGATGAACACAATACAGAAGCCTGATGATGGCACATGAGATTCTGCCGAAACGTTGCTACAACTTTGAAAGCACAACTACCATGACGTGGGAAAATACCCGAACAAAGCTGAATACCATACATGCATGTATGTGTGTGTGTGTGTGTGTGTGTGTGTATGGCATTCAGCTTTGTTTGGGTATTTTCCCATGTCATGGTAGTTGTCCTTTTAAAGTTGTAGCTACAACTTTAAAAGCACAACTATAATGACGTGGGAAAATACCCGAACAAAGCTGAATGCCATACATGTAAGTACCCACGAAAACTTAAGAAAACATACACACACACACACACACACATATATACACATATATTTTCCCACCAAAAAAAGGCACCAGGCCTTATTTTCGGGGGACGTCATCCACTGACTCACCTCACTTGCACGCATCGCCCCACGGCCTCCTTCTGAAAGTCCTTCTTCTGCGGCCAGCAAGGTTTTCCTGAAGGCTTCTGCAGCTGATAGGATCGATCCAGAGCTTTGTTATCAGCTACAGAGGCCTTCTGGAAAGCCTTGCCAGCATTGCCGGCCCATTTCTTCAGCAGCCAGCAAGGCAGGTGTCGGGGTGTGCGAGGCCTGGTTACAACTGTCCAAAGATAAGGAGTTGGGCAGCTCCACTTCCCAATCTCCACCTTAGCTTAATTTTTACCCGTCCACTCTGGAGTGGATGGGATCTTAATTAGGGCTTATTTGGGGGCCGTAGGACTTATATTGGGCACCTGTGTAAAAATCAAGCTAGGACTTACTTTCAGGGTAGGTCGTATTTTGGGGGAAACGGGATAGGTAGGTAGGTAGGTATAGATAGATAGATAGATAGATAGATAGATAGATAGACAGACAGACAGACAGACAGACAGACAGACTGGAGATAGATATAGAGATACTGAAGATAGGCAGAGATATAGATATATAGATAGATGTATCAGATATATATAGATAGATATACATATAGATACTGAAGATATAGTATAGATATATAGATAGATACTGAAAGAAAGATAGAGAGAGATAGAGATACTGAAGATAGAGATAGATAGGTATAGATCTATACATCTATAAATGTAGATAGGTATAAATGTAGATAGTACAAAGAGAGATAGTATAGATCAGCAGTTGACAACTGGTGGGCCGCAGCCCACTGGTGGGCTGTGAGAAAATTTTGGAGGGCCGCAGAAAAATCTCACCCCCAGAGCACCCCCCAAAGCAATTAATCCAGGCTGTGCAGAAACACAAGGTTGCCCCGCCCACATGGCCCGCGGGAACCCTCCCCGCCCACTCACGTACCCAGTAAACTTGCCTGCTAAGTTGCTACTTTTCCTTTTTCCAACCATCAGCTGTTCTGCTGTGTTGGGAGATTTAGATTAGCTAGGAAGCAGGAAATGGTTGGATTTCTTGCTTCCTAGCTAGTCTTTAGATCTTCGGCTCTGCTTTTAAGCACAGCCGAACCTCCCTTAGGACTGAAGGTTCTATTATTCAGTGCAGACTCAGGCAGCCGATGGCAGAAAGATAGATCTCTGAGTGAATCTGTGATTCTGTGAGCAACTCAATCTGCCTGCCTGCTTTGCCTGATTTGGGGTAAAAGTTGCTCTTTTTTATAAAACAAATCAATATTTATATAAATATTTATAATAGTTACATACAAGCCACGCCCAGCCCCTCACATGACCATCAAACCACACCCACAAATTAGGCCACGCCCACAGAACCGTTTAGTGGTCCCTGGGATTTAAAATTATGAGTTTGGTGGTCCCTGCGGTCCAAAAGGTTGGCGACCCCTGGGATAGATAGATATAAATATAGATAGGGTAAAAGTCGATAAAAGCAATTTAAAATGGAATTGGATCAAATATGATTTAAAATGAAATCGGAATGAAAAGATGATTTAATATATGAAATGGAAAGAAAATCCCATCTATACTTCTTCAACGTGAGGAAATTCTTTTTCCCGCAGCCCCCGGCGGCCACACGGGTGAAGGAAGAGGCTGCGTGCTCCTCGCTCCGCTCACCTGCTTGAAGTGTCGTCGGAGGAAGGAGCCTTGGGCCCAGTGAGGGTTCAAAGCCCATCATCTGCTCCATGGTGGGGACGGCACCCCCAAAGGCTGGAGGAGCTGCAGAAGAAAGCGACAAAAAAATAAGACTGACAACAACCGCGGATTATCTTCTTTGAACGTTTCGCAGGAAGAGATCGCGGGTGGAAGAAAACCCCAAACTATCAGCCAGATCCCTCCAGAGGTGGAAAAGGAAAAGGAGGAAGGAGGAGGAAGAGGAGGAGCTGGAAAAGGAAAAGGAGGAGGGAGGAGGAAGAGGAGGAGGAGGAGAAAGAAGGGGGAGGAGGAGGAGGAGAGGAAGAGGTGGAAAAGGAAAAGGAGGAAGGAGGAGGAGGAAGAGGGAAGAGAAAGAAGGGGAGGAGCCAACATCTCCAGGGGGTTTGGAAGGACCACACCAAGACCTGTGGACCATCGAAGGCCGCCCCACTTCCTAGTCTTCTCCCACCACTCTTATTTTGGGGAGGGGTGTCAGGAAAGGAGGATGAAGGTTGAGGAGGAGGACGCAGTCTGGGCTTTCCCGTCACTCTTGGGCAGGAGGACGCAGGAAAGAGGACGACTCCGTCGGTAAGAGGAAACGCCGAGGCCTTCGGGAAGACGATCCTCGTTCAGCGGTTCCAGATTACGATGGCAAACACCCCTCTGCCCCCCAATGATAAACCCCGGCTGTTGTTCGTATGGGGAGAACGGTGGCAAATGTTGACGTCAACCACCGAAGCGATTCACTTAACGACAGCAGCAAAAGAAAGGTCTGAAAATTCACCAATGTCTCGCTTTGCGACCAATGATTGGGCGGGGGGGGGAGAACCTGAAAGGTGGCCATTAAGTGGAGGGCGACTTGTATTTATTGATGTATTAAACTGAGATTTAGGAGGTTTTGAAGAAGGGATCGGACAGCAGTTTCTGGGTTCCTCAGGCAGTGGGTTGGACTAGATGACCTCCAAAGTCCCTTCCAAACTATTATTCAATTATTCAAAAAAGATTGAAATTGAAAATCGTGCCCCCCCCCCCCGCAAAAGAGTCATCCTCAACTTATGACTGCAAGGGAATCTGAGCTTTCTGTTGCTAAGCGAGGCAGCTCAGTGAGTTTAGACCCATTTTCATGCCAACATCGTTAAGCAAATTGCTGCAGCTCTTAAAGTTAGTCACCTGGTTGTTAAGCAAGGCTTCCCCCGTCAGACGGTCATACAAGTGAAGCCCGGATGCTGCAGCTGTCATAAGTACGAGACAGTTGCCAAGCATCTGAGTTACGATCCCATGGCTGTGACGGTCGTGTGAAAAAGAGTCCTTTTGGTTCCAGCACCGTTACAACTTCGAACGGTCACTAAACTGTTTCAACCGGTCGCTGGGGCAAAACAGCTGGAAAACTAGAGACAGTCTTCATTTTACAATGGTTCGCTTAGCGACCATTCAAAGTCTCAATGGCCTCGGGGGAAAAAGAAGAATTAGGATTGTTTTTCACTTAGCGACTATCGCAATCCCCGCAGTCACGGGTTCAAAATTGAGATAGCTTGGCAACCGATTCATATTTACGACGATCCCGGGGTCTGGCGATCCCCTTATGTGGAAGCCAGATTCACTTAACAATGGCTCTACTCACTTAACCACTGCCATGATTCACTTAACAACAGCGGCGAAGAAGGTCGTGAAACAGGACCAAACAACAATTAGCCAACATTTCCCTAACCGACATAAATTTTCAACTCTATTGTTGTAACTGGAGGACGATCTGGGCTTTGAGGATTTGCTAAGGTGCTAGTCCTCAAGAAGAAATCTGATTTAAAAAAATTCTTTTGGCAATATGGAGAAAATGGTACTTTTTTGATGCAGAAGTGGAGTCCGAACTCGCGACAGGTGACATCCGGCTCACCTTGTCAGGAAGAGAATGATTGACAGCTGTCTCACCTGGGGTTTCAAAGAAAGGGGAGGAGCCTTGTCCCTGGGTCAGGTGACGAGTGCCCAACCAGAGGTCCTCAGGAGAAGCGACGGGTCCAGACAACGCTGGAGGAAACACGGAGCAAGCACAAAAAGCCTCATCAGACTTACGTAATATAGGACACTCCTCAACTAACAATGCCTCGCTTAGTGACCGTTCCAAGTTACGACGGGGCCGAAACTCCCTGCCCAAAGGTGAGAAAGAAGGGAGAAGAAGATGACAGAGCGAGCAGAAATTGAAATCTGTGGGATTCCGTGATGGCTAGTCCCCGGTTTACGACTTACAAGCCAAACAGCCTTCCCGTCACTAAGCCGTACGCCTGCCCCGAAAATCAGACTTGGCACTGAAAACTGTGGGAGCACTTCAGGCCAACCTGGCTCCATTGGACAAGCCATTTTTCTGACGGTGGTTAAGCGACTCACCACCATGAAGTGAACTGCGCAGTCGGTAAGTGAATCCGGCTTCCCAGGTTTGAGTTTTTCCTCGTCAGGAGCAGGGGATTGGGTTGGATGACCTCCAAGGTCCCTTCCAACTCTTTTTATAATTCTATGGTTCTAAGCTAGTTTAGGGACGTCACTAATGGGGACCCCGTGAACCAGGATTATCCCATGCTGGTTAATCAGCGTCCAAATATGGATCGAGGCACTCCAGGGAAGGTTGAAGAGGGACGACTCGTTCTACGTTGGGTTTTTGAGGGAGGTCATAACTTGGAACGGACACTAAGCAAAGCGTTGAGTTGAAGACTGACTGAACTTTTTGGTAGACTAAAAGCCCCTCTTTTCTTTGGGCATAAGTCCCCGGTTGTAAGTTACCTTGTGTCCACGCCGTCGTAACTTTCAACAGTCACAAAGTGAACTACTTGTTACCTGTTTGGCAAAAGAGCGGGAAAAATACCGGCATTTCATGTTTGTGACCGTCCCAACTTACGATGGCACTGACAAAAGGGACTTACGACCTTTTGTCACGCTTAAAGACTGTCGTGGCATCCGTGCAGTCACGTGATCGACATTCAGACCTTTGGCAACCAACTTGTAGTTACGACGGCTACAGACTGCCTAGGTCACACTTTTGCAACCGCCTGACGAACAAATCAAACCCAGTTCGCTTAACAGGGTCCTCGACTTTTGACCAAAATGGGAGGCCTACCTTTCTGTTGCTCAGTCAGACAGTTGTTAAAGTGAATTTGGCCTCAGTTTACCACCTTTCTTGCAACTGTCATTAAATGAATCACAGGTAGTCCTCGCCTGACAACATTTTGTTTAGTGACCATTCAAAGCTACAACGGCACCTATTTACGATGGTCATAAATATCCCCCCAGGTAAAAGGCGAAAGATTTATACGATCTGAAGAGAAAAGGCTTCTAATGGAAAGTCTTTTCTCAAACGTGTTTCACACTTACGACTGTCGCAGCATGCTCAATGTCACGTGATCAAAATTGGCAACTGACTTGTAGTTTTGACGGTTGCCGTTTCTTGGGAGGGATCAAGTGATCCCCTTTGGAAACTGCCTGAGGAGCAACGGGGAAGCTGGATCCGCTTAATGACTGCATGACTCACTTAATGACAGCAGCGATTCGCTTTAACAGCTGGGAAAAGGAAGGTTGTAAAGGCGAGTCTAAGCTCACTTAATGACTGTCTCGCTTAGCCATAAAAAGGACAATTCGAATCCTGTAACCCAGCCTCCAAATAAAACTATAGACAGTTCTCGACTTAAGACCATTTGTTTAGTGATGGCTCGAAGTTTCAACGGCATGGAAAAAAGGAGACTTGGGACCAGTTTTCACACTTAATGATGGTCGCGGCCTCCCTGGAGTTGCGTGATGGAAACTCGGAGGCCTGGCAACCGACACAGATGTCTGACAAGGGTTTCGTGTGATCCAATATTAATGACCGCATGACTACCTCAACCAATGCGGGGACCCACTTAACAACCATAGCCAGAAGCTCTGGGGCTCCTTTCTCTTGAGACGTTCCGACAAGCTGAGGAGGCCACATATATCTCCACACGATTCACTTAGGAATGTCTGCGATTCACTTAACGACGGGGGTCAAAAGGCACTGCCTGTCTGAAATTTGGAGGGGGGGAAGGAGGCTCAATGGTGGTCATAAGTCGAGGAGTGCCTGTATCATTTTTTTAACCCACCTCCGTTTCAGTCCCGGGTTTACCTGCTTGGCTCTGATTCAGGGCCGGGCTGAGAAAGGACAGGGGTTCGAAACCGGCGGCCGGAGGATGAGTGAAGCCCAGAGATGGAGGTTCAGAAAACTCAGCAGCTCCATACGGACCTGGAAGAGAAGAAAACTGTGTTGGCAACAAGCTACCATTTCTTCGGCCGTGAGCACAAACAGAGATTAGATAAGAAGGGGGACGGGAAATAAGAGATTTATAGAAACCTAGGGATGGAAGATACCTTGAGGCCATCCAGTCCAACCCCCTGCTCGAGGAGGAGACCCTTATAGAATAATAGAGTGGGAAGGGAGCCTGGAGGTCATCCAGTCCAGCGGTTGCCAACCGGTGGGCTGCAGCCCACTGACGGGCCGTGAGGAACAGTTGGTGGGCCGCAGAGGAATCTCACCCCCAGAGCACTCCAGGCTGTGAGGGAACACAAGTCTGCCCCGCCCACCTGGCCCGCGGGAACCCTCCCCACCCACTCACTCCTTACCCAGCAAACTTGCCTGCTAAGTTGCTATTTTTCCTTTTTCCGACCATCAGCTGTTCTGCTGTGTTGGGAGATTTAGATTAGTTAGGAAGCAGGAAATGGTTGGATTTCTTGCTTTCTAGCTAGTCTTTAGATCTTTGGCTCTGCTTTTAAGCACAGCCGAACCTCCCTTAGGACTGAAGGTTCAGTTGTTCAGTGCAGACTCACGGCAAGCGATTTTATGTGACAGACTGAGCTAGCCGATGGCAGATAGATACATCACTGAATGACTCTGTGAGCAACTCAATCAGCCTGCCTGCTTTGCCTGATTTGGGGTAAAAGTTGCTTTTTTTTTAATAATAAAAAATTCAATATTTATATAAATATTTATGATATTTACATAGAAGCCATGCCCAGCCCCTCACATGACCACCAAGCCACACCCACAAATTAGGCCACGCCCACAGAACCGGTTAGTGGTCCCTGGGATTTAAAATTACGAGTTTGGTGGTCCCTGAGGTCCAAAAGGTTGGCGACCCCGATCCAGTCCAACCCCTGCTCGAGCAAGACGTCCTGACATGGAATTGTCATTGGAAGGCACCTAGGAGGTCATCCAGTCCAACTCCCTGCGGAAAGGATGTCACTCTATTTTGTTCCGCTTTCAATAATGCCGGATTCCAACACCGCCAGTCCTCAGACTTACGACCATGAGGTAGGTCAGAATGTCCGTCTCTAAGCCAGACTTAAGACCACACCTGCGATCCGAATTTCCACTGCAAAGCAAGAGGGTGGCACGTCCTGTCCTGCTCCATTGGGTGACCTTTTTTTCCCACGGTCGGTTAAGCAAGTTACTGCGGTCATTAAGTGAATCCAGCTTCCCACGTTGAGTTTGGTTGTCAGAAGCTGGTTGGGAAGGTCACAAAGAATGAGGGCATCAGCCTGAGACGCAAGAACCATGATTGTGGAGGAGGAGGAGGAGGAGGAGGGGGAGGAGAGAAGGGATGAGCAGGGGTTGGACTAGATGACCTCCAAGGTCATTCTATTGAATGATTTGGGTCTTCTCCTCTCAGATTCCCACCGAGTTTATTTTTCCTTGCAAACCCGGATACTCCACCAGCCATCGGAATAAACCCTGAACAGACATTTGAATAAAAGTAAAAAGTAAAAAAAATCCTGCTATTTTGATCCACTCATCCATCCATCCATCCTCCTTTTCTTACTCTTCCCTCCATCCATCTCTTCCCTCCATCCATCTACCCATCCACTCATCCATCCATCCATCCTCCTTTTCTT